AGGAAAATGCTAAATCCATATTCATTTTGGCTGGTTGCACAGAATTATGCAATAGAGAACTAAGAAAAAACCAGAACTGCTGTGCCACCAGCCTAATGTATATGGTTTAGCTTTCAACAATTAAAAAACTCTAAGCAAGGAAGAATTCACACTCACTCCTTTTCTGCTGTATTTTTTTCTTCTTTTGCTGTTCATATCTGTACTTACTGAGAGAAAAAGATGAAAAAGCATTAATATACTTCAGTAACAGAATTCTAGATGTGGTAATGATGTTGAAAACAGATTTACAGGTATACATATCCAATTAGTTTCATTTCAAAGTATAAGGCATATCATACTTATAATCCATTATTCTAACAACTGGAGGATCTGCATCAGGGGACAAAATGACCTGCAAAAGTTATTTCAAAAACAAGTTTTTGCATCATTAAAAAATAAGTCCAAATATTTAATCTCTTATAGGAACAGAAAAAAAAAAAAAAAAAAAAAAAAAAAAAAGGTTTAATACAACTGATGAAACTCCATCACTTGATCGGGGAAATTCTATGTAGGAATTCATAAGTTACATAAGAAGTCAATTCCTAATAGGCAAAGCAAATATGTAATTAGACATCTATAGACTGACTGCTGGGACAACAAAAACTGCTTTCAATTCGTATCATAAAAGATAATACGATTAAATGTAGCTCAAGTTCATTATGCACTATCAAATAGTTTCCTTCCTAATCTTGAAGACATCATTGGAGTAATATCAGTATCAAACAGTATGCCTTCCTGATCCTAACATGATGTACAGACATAAAAAAAAGAAGCAACTTTATGAGATTAAAGTTAAAAATTTCAGTCATCAAGGACTAAAAAGAATCCTACATTCAATCAAGAAGAGCATACCAAGTCGAGCTCAGCATCTTCAGCCATTTGAATGGCCTCACTTTTAGACACCACCCCAACCTACATACACCCCAAAAAACAAGCTTTGTCAAATAAAGTTCAAGAAAATACAGAATCCCCATTTGAGGCAGCTTAAAAGAGAAAGAAAAAGAGACAAACCATATTCTGTTGCTCATCAATAAGCCTCACAGAATTCGACCTACGAATATCAGAACCACTTCAAAATCACGTAAGTACGAACGAAACTATACGTAGAAAGAGAGCTATTCTGTTACTAATACATACCGGATACCAGATAAATCAAGGGTCTGGTCATCCTCAGAAACGCTCTGGCTTCCAGACCCACCGTAACTGGCAGAGATTGCTAAGTGGCGCAGAGTAAAAGAGGGGAGGGATTTGAGGGAGTCGGAACCGGACCGGGACAAACTATTGGGGGAACGAAAATGGAGCCCGAAGAACCTGGATTCAATGGAAGAGAGCGATGACACTGCTTTGGTGATTCGGAGTGGCAAGGGATTGAAGGGGAAGGTGGAGGTGATCCCCGCCATGGCTGTGCTCGCTTCCAACTGTGCGATGGAGCTGACACTCCCCCTCACACACAAGATAGGAAATGCTTATCCAGAAAAACTGTGGTCCGATAATGACCCTACGGGCTTTATCTGGGCCGGTCCGTCAGCCCATGGCTCCAAAATTCACCTCACCTTTTTGGTAAAGCGTCTAGAAATTTTTTTTTTTATTAACCTCTTCCTACCTGATAATAACATTAGAAACAATTAATTCATAAAATTTAAATTTAAAAATCAAAATTTTATTTAAAAAATTAAATTTTTTCTACTCAAATCCACAAATCAACAAATCATTAATCATTTTTTAATTGTTAGGCCAAATAATTTTCTTTTTTTTTACCGGTCGAACATAAAAAATATTGTTTTAAATGTATTGTAATTTACTTCCTTTTTATGTTATTTTGATGAAACCTTATTTAAAAAAAATTTAACTTCTTTCGTTACAACCTAACAGATTCTGTATTCATTTTTTAATTGTTAGGCCAAATAGTTTTCTTTTTTACCGTTCGAACAGGAAAAATGCTGCTCTAAATGTACTGTAATTTACTTTCCTTTTATGTTATTTTGATGAGTAATATCAGGGATGATGAAAATTT